TGCAAAACAGACTATCGCAACGCGGAAATGACTATCGCAACGATAGAATCGCAATGCGAAATGAAAATTGCAACGAGTGAATCGCAATGCGAAAATGAAAATTGCAACGCGAAACTAATTTCACGTTGCGATTTTCATTTTCGCATTGCGATTCACTCGTTGCGATTTTCATTTCGCATTGCGATTCTCTCACTGCGATAGTCATTTCCGTGTTGCGATAGTCAATTCCGCATTGCGATAGTCATTTCCGTGTTGCGATAGTCATATTCGCGTTGCGATTTCCACGTTGCTATAGTCAAATGAATGTCTAATAAGTGATAACAACTGAACATATCATAACAATGTTCAAACTCAAGTTACTAATACATGCCTAACTGAAAATGTTAAAAGTTCACGCATAATATACACATAATACAACGTTTGCATTTAAAAATCACCTAAGCTAACAGTCCCAAAAGGTGAAGCCGGTTGTGATTGGGATTTTGATGAGGATCCATATTTTAGTAGAGGAAAGATGATTGTGATGGCACTGGTGATCCACATGTCAACCTTGTATGACAACTTTCCTTGCACCGATTACATGTCGATCTCTTCTTCTCTTCACCCTTAGACGGTATACGATCGTGACTTTTTGGTCGGCCAGGTAGCCTTCTGTCCATGGCTGATGGCAAAACTGTTTGTAAGTCATCTGGTATGTCCCACTCAGAAGGATGTTGAATAGGGTAGACAATCTCGCCATAAGTCTGTCGATATACTTCTGTAGTGTAGCAATCCATAGCGTATGCGCTTGAATCAACTTGGTTTAGATGAAGAGAAACTTTTATAACATGGCCACACGGATAACCAGATGTTTGTCATTTCATACAACTACACGTCTTTGCATTTAGATCGACAAGCCCATTTAAGTTATTATCCAGTACTTCAAACAAAGTGTTTGAACATGGTTCAACTCTCCATGACGTTGACTTCACAACACGTTTCGTTATCTTTTTTTTTCTGTCCATGGTGTAACACGATGTTCCAATGTTCCTGTAAATTTAAATAAATAATACTTAGTAAAATATATGATAAGTTACGAATTTAAAGAAATAATACATGCATGGTTTCTTTTCTTGTAGTACCACTGTTGAATAGAGGCTCGAAAAAACTCCATTAACATAGTAATGGGTAATTTCCAGGAATGACGACTTAGAGCGTTGATTGATTCTGCACTATTAGACGTCATGAAACCATATCTTTCTCCAAGTTGATGTACTCTTGACCATCTTTCAAACCCGACATCTTCTAGTGTTTGAGCACACTAAGGTAAAACACGTCTTAAATAATTTATATGCTTATTAAAATCCACTTCCCGATAAGCTTTTACAGCATTCCAGTATGTCCATTTGTGATTTTTTATACCAACAGACATTGATTTTAGATTTCTATACAAATGAACACCACAAAGTCCATGAAAAGCATATGGGAAACACCTTCTAACAGCGTTGCCAATTGAGTTTGCCCTATCGGATATGATTTTCAGATTGCTAATAGGACCTATGTAATCCCTAAGATGCCCCATAAACCATGTCCATGAATTAGAGGTTTCAGATTTGCCAACCCCGTAAGCTATTGGCAGTATCTCATTGTTAGCATCCATGGCTACTGCTAATAAGTTTACTCCAAAGTATCGACCTTTTAAATGTGCTTCGTCAACTATAATAACTGGGTGCATGCAATTAATAAACAAACAAATCTACAAAATCATATACACAAGAAATATAATCATTTAAATGTGAAATGCATGTAACTAACAAAAATGAGTCAACAAAATTATATTGATTTACTAACCGCAGCACCAATGGCGATAAACAACAACTCAAAGCGTCCATCTCTATCTGTTTTGATATGAGTTACCGACACAGGATTTTTCAGCTTTAAATTGTGACAATAAGCCGGCAGTTGGGCAAACGATGCTTCCGGCGACCCCCTCAACAATTCCAAGGCATAACATTTGGCTCTCCAAGCTTGAGAATATGAGATTCTAATCTTGAACCGAGCATTCATGTCAGTCATAATTTCATGTCCCCGATATACCCTACCATTCAAAAAACATTAACTCAGCCAGAAAACCACCCAACACCTTTTTGTTTGCCTATCTATGGTGAGGAAAAACTTGGGTTCTTGAACATGTATGTTTATCAATAAAAGTCCTAACTTGAAACATTTCGTAATCTTTTATCCTCTTTGCAATCATACGCCACATACAGTTTTTGTCAATCATACACCTTGTTTCGAAACGATCTTTGCTTGATTTGTTAACTTTTAGTTGATAGCCATCTTCCACACATTTCGTATACAAAGCTATCTTCAAGTCTTCCTTTGTATCAAAACAATCATCTTTCTTGATACGAATGATTTTTCTGTAACAATCAACTGCTATATTTACCAACTCTCCTTCCGGTATCTGAAGTAATTCTGGCATATTCCAGTTATACTCCCGTGGCATTTTCTTCGGGGACTTTTCTTTGGGGATTTCTTCTTCTTCTTTTTCTTCTTCAGTGTTATATGAATTACATAATGAATGTTCAACATGTTCATTTACAGTCGTAACTTCCTCCTCATTATCATCAACAACATCTTCCTCGGCAACGGCTGTTTCATCATCAAAATTCGGGTATTGACCAATATCAAAATCATTACACGTAGGGTTTGTTTCTTCTTCTGAAAAATCATCAAAATCCGAGTATTGACCAAGATCAAAGTCCGGGTATTGACCAAGATCAAATTTCGAATACTGACTAGTACTCACAATTTTTTCTGTTGGCTCATCATCGTCTAACTGGTCAATACGAAAACCGGAATTTGGTGCTGAAAGTTGATTGGGATTTGGATTAGGGAAATGTTGTGGGTTTTGAGATTGTGTTTGGTATTGGAAATGTGGTGAAACAATATTTGCTTGGTGATGAAATTGTGGTGGAACCATTAAATTTTGAGCACCATAAACTGGGGTTGAAAAACTTAGTTGATTGCTACCCGCTACTGACCTAACTTCACTACTTCTAGGTTCAACAACATACAATGTAACATCATCACTTGAAACACTAATGTAAGCAATGAATCGTTCAACATCTTCATTGTCGGTTAACAAATAAACTTTACTATTTCTCTGATAAGATAGCCTAAATCCACTTAGGGGCTCTAAATTCAATTTATTTGCAACACGTAACATTAGAGTTTCATAAGTTAACTTTTTTAATGACAGTTTTAGTTGAAGATTCATGGGTAAAGACATATATTGTAAAACACCATGAACATTCTCTCATGACCCTCCAAAACACAAATCTATCCAAACATGATCAACATTAGATGATTTCATTATTGTAAATTAATTTACTAAACAAACGAGCTGCGAAACTAAAACCTGTTACCGGATGGGGAAGGATGTCGTTGGATATAGGAACGGATGTCGCCAGAGAGAGAGATAGATGGAGATGGAATGAGTTGCGATTTAGGGATTTAGGTTATGAGTTGTTGCTGCTGCGTAGTTATATACCCAAAACATTTGTGTTGCGAAATTAAAACCTGTTGCGAATTCAGAAATCGAGTTGCGAATTTGAAATTCAGTATTGCGATAGTCAGAATCTCGTTGCGATTTATAGATTCGCATTGCGATTTACGTATTCGCGTTGCGAATCAGGAAAATCGCAACGCGAATTTGGGAAATCGCGTTACGAATATGGAAACTGATTTGCGATACCGGAGATCGCGTTGCGAATTATCAATCACATTGCGATTTAGTTGGTCATTTTGGCAAATCCAAAAAAAGTTGGTTAAAATCGTATATTATAAGACATTTTTGGTCACTAAGGTTATTTTCTCTATTTTATATTGGAATGAAAAATCCAAAGAGATCAAACATATACCAACACTCAAAAATAATATTTTGCATGCATCTATATATAAAAATTGGATTATTTGACAAATAATTGTCTAAGAGATCTCCAACTCTACTTTACTGTAGCATTTTTCTGCACTGTAGCGTCTCCAACCCTGCCCTACATTTTGCTCTACTGTGGAGAATTGCTATAGTATCGCGCCACATCTAGATTGGCACTGTAGCTTGTGTTACATTTTCCTTTTTTTTTAATTAAAATATATTAAATTCTAAGATGAACAAAAATACATTTAAATTAGATAAAAAATCATACTAATTTTTTTTGGATTTTTTTATATTTATAAAATTAATATTATAATAGTTAAATATTATGAATAAAGTAGAGTTAGTGGTAATGTAGAGATAGCGTTGGAGATGAATTACTGTTTCATTTTTAAAGTAAAGATAGAGATACACTAGAGTAAGATAAAAACTATGGATGATCTAAAATACATGTTGCATGTAAATGAATAATTCGAGCAAATGTCACTACTCTTGCCGTCGTTGTTTGATTTGTATGATCAAGACAAAAACTATACTTTTATGTATCAAGAATATCATAATATCTTTTTTGTTCGGGAATTTTCAACTTAAATTTAAAACTAACATCAATTATTAAAATAAATAAATGTGTTGGAATAAATTTATGAGCTTATAATTGTGAAATGAGATGAATAAATAAATATTTACACTACTTAAAGTACACAGAAAAATATATAATTATGATACTAATATCGAAATTGTTCATTAATTAATAAAATTTGGAGAAAAATATTAATAAAAATAGTGCATGTGCATGCACAGTGATAAGAGAAATGAAGAAAAAGGTTTGAAGATTGGGGAAGAGACAAAAAGACAAGAGTTGAAGCTACATGTTGGGATTTCCAAGATTCAACTACTAACTTTTTCCCTCAAAATGACACCTTTTTAATAAAGAAACAATCACAAGCTGACAATAATAGAAGAAATTATATAGCCTTAGTAGTATTCAAATTCAAATTAATAGAATTAATTCTATTTTTTTTCTTCTTTATATTATTGTTGTTTGTAAGTGATATTAATGGAGTATATGCCAACGCTACCTTACCAGCTGCAGCTTTTATTCGAACTTTTGAACTCTTCTTTCTCTCCATGCTCTTTTCTCTCTGCTGCTTCATCGCTTTAAACAAATTTGTGGGTCATTTTCCCCTTTCTCCATTGCTTTGCATTTCAGTTTCTGTGCTGAAAAAGCTTTCTCTGGTCTCTCATGGCTTAAGATTTCATCATTTCTTTTATAAGGTAACATAGCCTTTCTTTTTCACTCTCTTTTTCTCAAATTTTCTTCTTTGATTGTTTAGTTTCATACTTAAACTTTGCTTGACTGTCCCTGAGATTTAAGACTCAAATTCCTTTCTTTTTTTATTGTTTTCTTTGCTATGCTTACATGAAAATAGCTTGTGAAAACTGGGTTCTTCTTCAACCTGAAGCTGCATCTATGTGTGTGCTTATAGATCTGATGCAAAAAAGTTGTTATGTTAGCTAACTAGTGCTGGCTTCTGCTGTAAAATGATTTGAAGTTTTAATCCATTTTATGATCATTTTTGTTAAGAAATGCAGGTTCTCAAACTGTTATTTTATATGCTATGTTTGAGTTTATTCTTGGGAATTTGATCTGTTTTCAAATGCTTCTAATTTGCAGTAAACAACTATGAACCTTGTCTGATTGTTTGCATAATAAGCCAAATATTTTCAAACCTAATTTTTGGAATATTTTATTTGTTATTTGCTTCACCTCACCATCACGCTCACGGTGGTGCGTATCGTTGATTTCTTTTACTCTGGAATCCTGACAGGAGGCAAAGCCAACGCATGCCTGGCTTCCCTTTAATCATACATTACCTTCCCCAAATTACAAAAACACCCTTGAAATTTTTTATATATTTTTGATTTTGTCATGGTAAATTGTCCATATATTGATGTGCATGGAGAGTGGGAAGAAAAAAGCCTTTTGCACTGCCCCAGAAATGCCAGGGAAAGTAGCAAAGAAATATATAGGGAACCAAAGACATAGGGTATTGGAAAATGAAAACTATTGGGAGTTTGTTTTTAACTTTTTAGAAAAATAATATACTCGTATTAAACACTCAAATACTAGTAACATAGGCCTTGCATTATGTCATATCTTCACATCTACCCATTTGCCTCATTTAATTAATGTTTTGAAGATATATGTTCTGCATTGTGTTGTTGACGCATTGAATGCAAGTTCTTGTTCAAGTTCTCCAGTTTTTGAGCTTATGTCAACGTATGTGTGCATTGCATTTCTCAAAGCATGCAAGATGCTACAGTGGAGGATCGGAAATCTTGTTGTGTGCGTGTGTACGCGCGTCGTCTATTTACATCCGCCATTCTTAGTTTTTTCATTGGTGCTCTTTAAGCTCTTCAGGTCTCAAGATTTCAACGAACTAATTCCGTTTCGGGCACAGACTCTTCGACATTCAAGTTCGGAAAATGCCGAGATCTAGGTGAGAATCTAATCTGCCATCAACTAATGAGTATAGTTGTTGTTCATGCATTTATAATCAGTGTTTTGCATTTAAGCAAAAAGATCTGATCCACATGTGTTACACGTTTCTGCTATTTTTCTCTGTGGTGTTGCCTTTTTTTGTATGTGATTTTTGTGTGATTCTTTTTATGAGGACTAGGGGCTCGGAAATGCCAACAAGGCAATCACCTCGAGGAACTCATCAGGTTAAGTCATCAAGTTCTGATTCAGACCCTCTGCACCATAGACCGGTTACTGATCGGATTAGTCCCAAGGTCGGAGATCGTCGTTTCCCGAGAGGTGCTTCGCAATCTGATCCACTGAACCAGAAGAAGCTCGGCACTCGCATTGCGGATTTAGAATCTCAACTCGGGCAAGCACAAGAAGAGCTGAAGATTCTGAAAGACCAGTTGGTTTCAGCTGAAGCTGCAAAGAAAGAAGCGCAACAAGAGCTGGAAAATAAGACCAAGAAGCCAAAAGCTCCGGAATCCGTTGAACCAAATGAAAAGATTTCTCCAAAAAGAACTCGAGATAATAAGAAATCAGACTGCAGCATCAGAGATGAGGTTCCTGATTATAATCAGCGAGAAACTGATGTTTTTGAAGTCCCAGTGGAAAAAGCAGTGATTGAGTCCAAGGTGGAAGTCGAAGAAGTCGAACAAGCAGAAGAAAAAAACAAAGCAATAGAGACATCAATTGCATCGCCGGCAGAATCCGAGCTGGAGAAACCATCTTTGCATGACTTGGCTACAAAATATGATGAGATGAATATGCTAAAGTACAAGCTAGAAGAGAAAGAAAAGGGGCTTAGCCTGTTTACTAAAGAAAACGAGAACCTGAAAAAACAGCTCAATGAAGCAACCTCAAACATTTCGAATGCTAATGCCAAGGAAGAAGAAATGAGTTTGAAGTTGGGCCAAGTAGGGAAGGAGATGGAAGCGAGTAAAAAAAATTTAGCTCAATTGAAGGAAAAGCTCCAATCAGTGGAAGAGCAAAAGGAAGCATTGGAAGCAGAGATGAAGAAGCTAAGGGTACAAACTGAACAGTGGAGAAAAGCAGCGGATGCCGCAGCAGCTATTCTCTCTGGGGGCATGGAAATGAATGGGAGGATTTCAAACCGGTGTAGCTCAATGGATAAGCATTTTGGTGGTGTGTTCGAGACTCCAGTTGCTGGTGGTTTTGCAGGTTATGTCGGATCACCAGCCTTAGGTGATGAAATAGATGATGGTTTCGGAAGTGGAAAGCGCAAAGGCTCCGGGATTAAAATGTTCGGAGACTTGTGGAAAAAGAAGAGCCAGAAATAAAACTCAGAGCCTCTGAAATACTTTCGAATATCGTGTTTCTTATAGCAGCTCATATAATTGTTTGAAATGGTTGCTCACCGTTTCAGTTTTTGTTGATCATGTGTTTCTGTTGTTGCAGCAGGTCTGGCTGCCATATCTCATGCTCAGTAGGTAGTATTGCTCCTGCAAAGTTATGTAAAACCACCAAGGATGATGATCTTTACTGTGTTCTGGTGTTATTAATGAATTAGGTATGGGGACACATGTTACTTAAGGGGCATTTCTTGAAGCAGCTTGTACAAGGTTCCATCCTCTATGTTTCATTCCTTTTAAATTTGGCTATGTTTCATTTATGTTACTTAATGCGGTATATTCGAATGCATCTGGACACAGGTATATAATGGGAAACTGAAACTAAAGATCCAGATAAAGCAAATACAAGCATTAGATATAAAACTAACGATTAACATCTGACAATATGCTACTCAGGTAGAAGCAACAATCAATACAGATTACTGCAATATTATAGCAAACTTAAAGACAAAATGTGCCTAGAAACTTGCCCAGCAATGAACACGAACCATTCTCTACACCAAATAACCAACAACTAAGCATCTTGAGACGTGTGAAATTCCAACATCAATTTGGCTTGTTCCCTTACCAACTCATTCCTCTCCAAAAACAGCTCCAACTCAGCAACCTGCAATTTCCTCCATTTCTCCTCTAAAGCAGTTCGCTTTTCTTCCCCAGCCATATGCAATCCATGCTTCAAAATTGCATTTTCCAAACTGCACACGCCAGATTTCTTATCGAACAAGCTAGCCGAACTCTTGGACGACTTGATATCAACCTCCATCAGTTCCCCATTATCCACTTTCTCATCAGCTGAAGCGACCGGCTCTGCTTTCAATGTATCCGATTCCTTGCCGTTTCCCTTTGCTTTTGCAGCAGAAGAATCGATATTTTTTACGATTCCTTCTTTACCCCAAATCTTTTTGGACAATTCAAATACTTGTTGTTCATGGGGTTTAGAAAACGTCCGATCCTCTCCGTCTTTGCTCCTCCTAGCATTGTTCTCAAACTTTTTCCTCAACCTCCTAACCTTATACATCAACTGAGCTCTCGAAACATCAGCGTGAATCGAATCCTTAACAAAATCATGAAAGGCATGCGTATCAGCAAATGGGTCAACCTCTTTTATGGCCAAGATATCCAACAAACCTTTCAAAACAGCAATTTCGTCGTCATCACTAAAAAGTCTCTGGAAAAGCTGCTTCTTTTCGTCTTCTCCGGCCTTCTTCACCTCCTCCTCAACAACATCGGCAGAATCGGACCCTTCCTCGCCGGATTTCTTCCTGGAACGTTTTGATTCCTTAGGTTGTTCTTGCTCGGACACGCTAGGACGTTTCGTTGAAGAGGCAACCTTGACGGGAGAAGATGAGGGCTTGGATCTGGGTTTTTTGGCCTTTGAAGCTCCATCCATGGGTTTTGTGGCAATTGGTTTGACATTGAGAGCAGAGTTTTTCTGGGTTTGTGGGGTTTGGGTTGAAGTCTCCTCTGAAGAAGAACCAGAGGAAGAAGATGAAGCAGTGGGAGGATCGTCAATGGGGTTCTTCGAGCTTTTCTTCGCCATGGAAGTGGAAAAAAACTGGTTAACTTTTGTCAAAGATAAAGTTGTTTTAGAACTGAAAAGTTAAGACATCAACAGCCTGGGACGTTAAGTACAAAAACCAAGTCGTAAGCCCATTGGCAGATACCCAACTGTGCGTACTGCTTCGGATTCTTAGCTATCGACGCATGCATTTCTTGATTGGATGGTAAATTTATGGCATACAGGTTAAAATTTGAATTTCAAATTTACATCAAAGAATGCCATGCATGGTAGTAGATACTTTGGATTTGGATACTAATGAAAATCTATTTATTTTCTTGTAAATTCATACATTTTATAAATTTATTTTAATAAAAAAATGTATTTCACTTAATTTTAATATGAAATTAACAAGTAGATCTATTAATTTAATAAAAGTTTGAAAAAGGGAAAAAAAGAAGAAGCTGGTTTTTTACTTTGTTCAATTCGATTGTTATCGGTATAAATATGACCATTATCTAATTCTGTACCATAATTAACCATCGTTATATTGAGTTGAAACAAAGAAGAAGAAAGCAAAAATCACACAGTTGTAAAATTTTGTATAGTACAAACTTTCCCTAATCCAATTTCTTATCCATAGTATAATTGAAAATTGAAAATTGAAAATTGAAAATGGAAAATGGAAAATGGAAAATGGAAAGGTTATGAAGCAGCAATTTTTTCGAAGTGAATGAGCCTGTTATCTGCCAGCCTTGAATTGTAAGCAGATTTCTTGTACTCAAACCATGTGAACTCTTTGTACAAGCTTTGCTGCTCACCTCTCATCAGACATGGCAAAGGTGCTATTTTCTCACTCAATGGTGGTCCACCAAAATAAATCATTGAAAGCCTGGATTTCACACTGTTGGTCACCACCCTGTGTTTTACACTTTTAAACCTTCCATTGGTCATCACCTGAAAACATCAACCGTTTGATAATTAAGGACCCGAGTTTAAGCAGATGGCGTACGTAAAATGTTTGTTTTCCTTTACCTGTAAGGAGTCACCAACATTGATGAAAAATGAGTTCTGGTCTGGTGGAACTGAAATCCAGCTACCATCTCTAAGAGAGATTTGAAGACCAGAAGTGTTGTTGGATCTCAACACAGATATGATTTGTGGGTCAGTGTGTTCTCCAAATCCAATCACATCACCATTGTCATTCTCATTCAAAGGTTGAACTTGTGGGCATGGTGGGTAATGGTTAACCCTGAAAACAGAGTCACTCTCTTCATCCATTAACAGCTTACTCAAAACATTTCTGGGTTGAATCTTTAACCCATCAGCCATTACTTCAAGTATCTCGCAAGCCATTTTCTTCACCGATTTCATGTAATTACCCAAAGCCAATCTGAAAAAAGAAACACTAAAATTAAATAAAGAATTCCAATTTCGCAGTGTCTGATAAAGTGACATACCTGAAAGTTTGTAATCTATGGAGATTGGAGTCTTGATTTGTTGTCAAGAGAAGATATTCAACCCAACCAACATCACCATGTACGCCAATCCGTTTATTACCATAACCATAAGGCTTAGGCTGTCCTGTCTTCTGTTTCTCGCAAAGCGGTAAACTAAAGAACTCAGTGGCTTCAGATTCCAGCAGGGAAATGAATTCCGTTGGAACCCCATGGTTGATCACCTTAAAGAATCCCAACTCCTCACAGGCTTTGATCATCTGGTGCTTTGAATCGGGGTCTGACAGGTCTACAAGAGGGATTTGAGTGAACAATGCAGGCGTTGGATTGTTGTTTCTGATGTAAGAGAACTGTTCAATTGCTGGTTTTGACAACACCACCATTGTTTTTGTCAATTGTTGATGCTACTTCTGCTATTTTTTTTATTTGGATGAAATTAAGAAACAAAGAGAAACACAATGGGAAATACAGGATTTAAGTTTGATAGAGGTTTGGAGGGAGGGGTACATGAGCATGAACAAGTGGCTTAGTTTGCTTGGCTATTTATAGGAATAGAGGGAGTGTGAGAGAGTTTTCAAAAAGGAGATAAGAAACAAATATTTTATATATTAATTGAAAATACAAAATATTTCATTAATAATAATATAACAATACTCCATAGATAAGATACATTGTTCTTTGACATTTATTTTTACTTCCTAACATTATATGGAGAAAAACAAACGGGTAAATTACACAAATGGTCACTAATATTTTAGTAAATTTTGGTCTTCTTCACTAAAGTTTTAAAAGTAATAAATTGATCACTAATGTTATCGATTTATAATAAAGTTGTCACTCATCGTTAACAGTAGTTACTGTAATAATGGAATGCTGATGTGACATGTTAAATCAGTTGACTCACCACGTTTGACCGACCATTTAACTTTTCTTCTTCTTTTAGGGTTTGTCTTATCTCAACATTCAACTGATGATTGCGGTCGCTTCTGAAATCTTATGTGCTTCTTGTATTATGGTTTTTATTTGATAGGATAAATTCCTAGTCTATCTAACAATGCCCCAAGTTTTGACTTTGTAAAACATTACCTAACGGTCCAAATGACTTATTTCTTAAAATATGAGTTGAAAAAGGCAAAGTAGCATAACATCAAAAAGTGTCAACGTCGAGGAGGCCTTCTGGTACATATAGCTCAGATTTCTCGTTTCGAATGGTTGTTGAATCATATATGTTCTACCTCTAATTCGTCATGGTTGATGAAGAAGGTGTTGAAATGTCAAAGCTTGGAAAATTGGTTCAAGTTAGGCACCTAATATTGCAATGTCAAAATTAGGTGCAATAATGTTTGAAAATTAAATGGGTAAATTATAAACTTTAGTCACTAAACTTTAGGGTATTTATAAGATTAGTCCTTAAGTTTCAACTATAAATACCCAGCTCATTTAGCTTCAAAACCATCCCAAAGCATTCTAGCTTTCTTCCAATACTAGAGAGAATTTAGAGAGTTTCTTGAGAGTTGTTTTCTCCTTTTTATCGAGAGAGAATTATCATTGTTTTCTCCTTGGTAGATCGAGAGAGGTTGTAATTCCTATTTTCTCATAGTGAAATTCTTCTACCGTTGCCCGTGGTTTTTACCCTATTTTATTTAGGGGGTTTCCACGTAAATTTTGTGTCTCTTTTTATCTTCATTTTTATTTTCTCAAATTATCAGTTGCGATTTTGCTCTATCCGATAGCCGTCTTCCGCAACAATTGGTATCAGAGCTAGATTAGAGTGTGTAATATTTACTTATTGTCTTTGTGGTTGCCACCAAAAGGTGGATCCTTTAACATAAGAAAATAAGAAGTTATTACCCATTCTTTGAAGGTTCCAGAGAACTATTCACGATAGTGAAATAGTGGGAGCTATCCGTAAAAGAAGCTATGGCAACGAAGTTTGATATTGAAAAATTCAATGGGAGAAATTTCTCATTGTGGAAATTGAAGATGAAGGCCATCCTAAGGAAAGACGGGTGTCTAGCGGCTATCAATGAAAGACCGGTGGATTTCGCAGATGACATCAAATGGAACGAGATGGACGGGAATGCTATGGCAAACTTTCATCTAGCATTAGCAGATGAAGTATTGTCAAGCATCGAGGAGAAGAAGACAGCTAAGGAGATATGAGATCATCTCACCAAATTGTACGAGGCCACATCGCTGCACAATAAAATTTTTCTTAAGAGGAAATTGTACACTCTCCTTATACTAGAATCTACTTCAGTGACGGAGCACTTAAATACACTGAACACCTTATTTTCTCAGCTTACATCCTTAAGCTGCAAAATAGGAGAACAAGAACGTGCTGAACTTCTACTTCAAAGTCTACCGGATTCGTATGATCAACTCATCATCAACTTGACAAACAATAATGTCACTAGTCTAGTCTTTGATGATGTTGCAGCTGCTGTTCTACAATAAGAAAATCGGCGCAAGAACAAGGAAGACAGACAAGTAAATCTGCAACAAGCAGAAGCGTTGACAACGATGACAACGATGAGAGGGAGATCAACAGAACGTGGCCAAAGCAGCAGTCACAAACATGGTAGATCGAAGTCAAGGAGCAAGAAGAATTTAAAGTGTTACAACTGTGGAAAGAAGGGTCATTTGAAGAAGGATTGTTGGAGTCTAAATAAAAACTCAAATCCACAAGGCAATACCGCAAACACTTCAGATGATGAAGATGCTCTATGCTGTGAAGCGTCAACCACCGTGGAAGGCAGAAAAAGATTTGCAGATATATGGCTCATTGATTCGGGAGCGACATATCACATGACCTCAAGAAGAGAATGGTTCCATCATTATGAACCTGTCTCAGGAGGATCTGTGTATAGTTGTAATGATCATGCCTTAGAGATCGTTGGTGTGGGAACCATCAAATTGAAGATGTATGATGGAACAATTAAAGTTGTTCGAGATGTGCGACACGTTAAAGGTCTGAAGAAAAATTTATTATCCTACGGATTGTTGGATAATAATGCAAGCAAGATTGAAACACGGAAAGGATTCATGAAAGTGTTCCGTGGAGCGCTTGTGGTACTGAAAGGCGAAAAAATAGTTGCAAACTTGTACATGCTGAAGGGAGAGACTTTGGTAGAAGCAGAAGCCTCTGTTGCCTCATGTAGTTCAGATTCGATAATGCTATGGCATCAGAAACTTGGACACATGTCAGAACAAGGAATGAAAGTCCTTGTAGAGAAAAAGCTACTTCTAGGCTTAACAAATGTATCACTTCCTTTGTGTGAGCATTGCATAACAAGTAAGCAGCACCGGTTGAAATTCAACACATCAAATTCTAGAGGCAAAAGTGTTCTAGAATTGGTTCACTCTGACGTATGGCAAGCACCAGTAACGTCCCTAGGTGGAGCAAAATACTTTGTCTCATTTATTGATGACTACTCCAGGAGATGTTGGGTGCACCCTATTAAGAAGAAGTCAGACGTGTTTTTAACTTTCAAAAAAACTTCAAAGCGTGGGTGGAACTTGATTCTAGAAATAAGATCAAGTGTTTCAGAACAGATAATGGAGGAGAATACACAAGCGAATAATTTGATGACTTTGGCAAGAAAGAAGGTACCAAAAGACAGTTCACAGTAGCGAACACTCCTCAACAAAATTGAGTGGCAGAGCGGATGAACATAACCTTGTTAGAAAGAACAAGAGCAATGTTGAGGGACGCAGGCCTAGAAAAATCATTCTGGGCAAAAGCAGTCAATACCGCCTGTTATTTGGTGAATCGAGCTCCATCAACTGCAATAGAGCTGAAGATACCAATGGAGATGTGGACTGGTAAACCAGTTGATTATTCAAACCTCCATGTATTTGTAAGTATTGTGTACGTGATGTACAACGCCCAAGAAATTTCAAAGCTGGATCCAAAATCCAGGAAATGCAAATTCTTGGGGTATGCTGATGGAGTAAAGGGGTATCGCTTGTGGGATCCCACTGCCCGCAAAGTGATCATTAGCAGGGATGTTATCTTTGTTGAAGATAAAATACAAAGAAAAGAAGACGATGATAGCGCTGAAAAGTCAGAGACTACTCAGATACATGTGGAAAAAGAGTTTGAAGAAGGAGATTATTCTGAAGCAGAACTAGCACATGATGAACAAGAACCAGAGAGTTCTGAAGCACCAACAACTCGTCAATCAGATCGTGTGAGAAGACGTCCCAATTGTCACTCAGATTATGTTATAGAAGGTAATATTGCATACTGCCTTTTAACAGAGAACGGTGAGCCATCAACATATCAGGAGGCAATAAACACTCATATGCTTCACTGTGGATGATGGCGATGCAAGAAGAAATTGAAGCCCTTCATAAAAATAATACATGGGACCTTGTGCCACTACCACAAGGAAGGAAGCCAATTGGTAGCAAATGGGTCTTCAAAATCAAGCGAAATGGTGACGATCAAGTTGAGAGGTATCGTGCAAGACTGGTGGTCAAAGGATATGCTCAAAAAGAAGGTATTGATTTCAATGAAATATTTTCTCCTGTGGTTCGACTAACAACAGTTCGAGTAGTTTTGGCAATGTGTGCTACATTGAACTTACATCTAGAGCAACTAGATGTTAAAATAGCTTTTCTTCATGAAAATCTTGAAGAAGAGATTTATATGATCCAGCCTGAAGGTTTTGAAGAAAAAGAAAAGAAGAACTTGGTTTACAGGTTGAACAAATCTCTGTACGGTCTAAAGCAGGCACCGAGGTGTTGGTATAAGAGATTTGATTCCTTCATTATGTTCCTTGGATATAACAGACTTAATGCAGACCCTTGTGCTTATTTCAAGAGGTCTGGTGATAACGATTTTGTTATATTACTGTTGTATCTGGATGACATGTTGGTTGCAGGACCCAACAAAGATCATATTGAAGAATTGAAGGCACAACTGGCTAGGGAATTTGAAATGAAGGACTTGGGATCAGCAAACAAGATTCTAGGGATGCAAATTCACCGAGACAGAAGTAATAGGAAGATTTGGCTTTCACAAAAGAATTACTTGAAGAAGATCTTGTCACGATTCAACATGCAAGATTGTAAGCCAATTTCTACCCCTCTTCCTATTAACTTCAAATAATCCTCCAGTATGAGTCCTAGCAGTGAAGAAGAGAGGATGAAGATGTCTCGAGTACAGTATGCATTAGCAGTGGGAAGTTTAATGTTCGCTATGATATGCACAAGACCAGACATTGCACAAGCAGTGGGAGTGGTTAGTCGGTACATGGCGAATCCAGGCAAAGAGCATTGGAGTACAGTAAAGAGGATCCTAAGATACATCAAAGGGACCTCAAATGTTACATTATGTTATGGAGGATCAAACTTACTAATTAATGGGTATGTAGATTCTGACTATGCAGGGGATTTGGATAAAAGCAAATCTACTACATGATATGTGTTCAAAGTTGCTGGTGGAGCTGTAAGCTGGGTTTCAAAATTGCAGTCAGTTGTGGCTACGTCCA